ATTCTGCAAATGTAACTGACATGCAATGGGGAATTAAATTATTCAACAGCAACTGAGATATAACACTCAGTGGTATTATACAGAGCACTTCATGAAATTGTCCAAATGAGACCAGTTAGAAATTTTCCCCAGCTGATTAAGAAATAGTCCTAGCCCGACAGCAATATGAACAGAGACAGAAGAAAGAAAGAAAGAAAGAAAGAAAGAAAGAAAGAAAGAAAGAAAGAAAGAATAAAAGAAAGAGGAAAAAACATCTCATCCAAAGCTATATACGTCACTGCATCTTCTACCTCTATTAAACCCTAATTTAGCTCCCCAACTGCCAACAGAATACCTAGAGAAAAATTTTTTAAAAGACCAATACTATCAGTTAGAAATACTCTGAAATAGAATTGCCCACAAGGAACTACTGAATTGGGGCACCCAAAAAGCATCATTGGTGGACATGGACAGTCACTTGAATAATAACTTCTGCTCTTCACAGAAGAGAAAGGAAATTCTTATATGCTACTTGACCATGTTTATGATTAATGACGCATTCAGGGGACACTACAGGGTATACACTAAGACCTTTTTACTGCATTTTTCTCATCTTTGAAAAAACTTAATTAAACATCCCTGTAAGAAAATGGCGTGATATTTATAAAGAAACCAACAGTATAAGGAGACCAGAAAAGAAAGAAAGGGGAGTGACTTAGAGAGCTTTTTTTAAGATGGGCTTTGGGCTCCACTCAGCAAACACTGAAGGGACCAGAGTAGCAGCTACACTAAGTTCTTTGTCTGTCCCTGTGTCTGCCTCTTTTCCTCTCTGTCTGTCTGTCTGTCTGTCTGTCTGTCTGTCTCTGGCTTGTGGGACTTAATGAAAACAGTAGAAGTTCAGAGTAGGAATCTCTAACGAAGTTTGATAGTAGAGGTAGATTTTTTTGGAGGTGGGACCCAGCTTCTTCACACTGAGCTACATCACCAATCCCTTGTAAAACTTTTAAAATATTCAGAAAGTCTTGCTAAGTTGATAGACTGTGCTTGCAGTTTCTGTTCTGTTTTATGCTCCTGGCATGTTGAGAATTGCAGGCAAGTGCCACTATGGGGGGGGATTCTTTTAAGAAAAAATTAAAACGTTTTATAATAAAATAAAGGGGCAAGCATAAGTAACACACTATGTTGCACAATTTTAAAAGTGGTCATTCAGGGTAAAAGACATAAACAAAAAATTCTTTCACAGAACTCTTAAGTGAATTAAAAGAAAATAGTATCAGTGAATCAATTAGCACATATAGCAAAATATATTTGAAATAAGGTAATAATTTGGGGAATTATTTGATCTTCTCCTTCTCTCCTTGGCATTTATGTATCTTATCATTGGTTCTCTTTCTCTCTCTCCCTGTCTTTCTCTCTCTCTTCCCCCTCTCTCTCATATGATATAAGAAAACTCATGACATTTAAACTTTTGTGCTTGTTCTATTTCACTTAAGCTTATGTTTTCATGTTGTATCCATTTATCTACAATTTCAAATTTATCTATCTTTACAGCAGAGTAGTAGTCCATTACATTGAACCATATTTTTCTCTTCCATTCATTTGTTGATGGGCATACGTGTGGCTTCTAAGATCTAAATATTGTAAATCATGCTCATGTAAACGTGGTTATGTGTATGTCTTTGTAGTGTGATGATTTTAAGCCCTTTGGGAAGATAACTAATAGGAGGACCCATGGGTTAAGTGGACTTTCCATTTTCAGTTTTTTGAGGAATCCCCACACTGGATTTTATAGTTTTTGCACTACTCTACATTACTACTAAAAATGGAAGAATTCCATGTTCCTCACTTATGCACAAGCATTCATGATAGCTATTTGCTGATAGTTGATCTTCCTGGGGTGGTATCTCAATTATAGTTTTAATTTCCATTTCTTTAATGGCCAGTGACGTTGAACATTTTAAAGTATTTATTTGCCATTTGTACTTCTTCTGTGAAGTGTCTATTCATTTCTGTTGCCCAGTTTTTGATTGGGTCTTTTGTTTTGAGGAATCTATTCTTTTTTGAGTTCTTTATATTTCTACATTTTAACACTCTGTCCAAGGAATACAAGGGAATTTTTTTAGACTATTTTTAGACTACCTTCATTCACTCTGTGGGTTGTTTCCTTTGCTGTGCAAAAGACCTCAATTTGCTGTGATCCCATTTGTTGATTCTGGGTATTACTTTCATGTGTCTGTGCCATGGTGGTTCCATTCAGAAAGTCCTGGCTTGTGTCCATGCCTTCCAGTGCTGGACCGGTTGTACCTTCCAGCAAATTAAGTGTTTCTGTTTTAACGCTGAGATCTTTGGCTAATTTTAATTTTAGTTTAATGCATAGTGAGATACATGGGTCTAGACTCAGTCTTCTGCACATGGACGTTCTCTTTTGCTAGTACTATTTATTAAAGAGCCTGTCTTCCCTCCACTGTATTATTCTGACACTTTTGTCAAACAGCAAATAGCTGGATGTGGTAGTGGTTGTTTTATTCTGTTCCATTTAGCCACATACCTTTTGTGCCAGTGCCATGCTGTTTTAATCACTGGGGCTTTATAGTATAACTACTAGTCTGGGACTGTGTTGTCATCTATTTTGCATTTGTTACCAAAGATAGCTTTAGCTATTCTAAGTCTCCTGATTCCATAAAAATTGTGGGTTTTTTTTTCTGTACCTCTGTGAGAAATGCTATTGGTATTTTGATTGAGATTACATTAAATCTGTGTGCCAGTTTTGGAAATATAGCCATTTTGTATATGTTGCTAATTCCTACTTAGTAGGAACATGGGATATGTCTCCATTTTCTGATGACTTTCTTAATTTTTTTTTCTGTATAATGTAATTTTTTTCTTTAGGCTTTCATGTCCTTGGTTGAGTTAATTTCTATGTATTTATTTTTTTATGCTATCACAAATGGTATTGTTTTCTTAATTTCTTTTTCAAAGTTTTTTTTTTTTTTTTTTTTTTTTTTTTTTGGTACCAGGGATCGAACTCACAACCCCACACTTGCCAGGCAAGAGCAATAAATTCATTATGAGTTTACAGGTGGTGGAGTTTTTAAATTCTTGTAAGTATAAAATCATGTAACCTGAAAATAATGATACTTTGTCTTTTTTCTTTATATACCCTTTTATTCTTTCTCTTGCTTGATTGCTCTAGCTAATATTTTGAGGTTTGAGTTGAACAGGCATGGTAGTAATAGACATCCCTGTCTTGCTCCTAATCTTAGGAGTAGAAGACTTTCAGCTTTTTCTCATTTAATATGATGTTGGTAATAGACTACATATAGGGCTTTTCTCAGATAAGATCTATCGATTCCCCATGCAGTAAATTTTTGTGATCTTTTGTTAGTTTAAAGATGATCATTTTTCCAACTTGTTTGCCTATTAACACGCTCTCATTGATGCTGTTGGCTGAAGTGTTTGGTGCAAACTATAAGCTATTTTGTTTGGGCACTTATGCCAACTTTGGAAAGTTCAAAGATGTTTAATTTTGATCTGTGACTAATAACATAAAGCCATGTTGCACAGTTAAAAAGAGGGATTCTAAAAGATCATTGGCAACTTAATGAAATTTAATGACTGCTTGGCCAACTTTAACCTTTTTAATTTTGTGTGTACATAATGATAGTTGCTTACATACAATTTTGTACACTTATTAAGACCTCAGAACACAAAAGTTATTTTATGTATCAGAAGTCATTATAAATGTATGACAGATTTTTAAAAATTTTTACCTTTTATTGAAAAGCTAAAAGTAATTAAAAAGAAGCTGATACACTAAATACGTAATTATTTGTGACTATATATCATTAAAGTTAGCTCTTGTGATACATTTTGAAAAATTACAACTATTCCTTGTTAGTTTGAATGTAACATCAACTTTTAGACATATACAGGTAAATGCTGAGGAGGCAAAGTTTTATATGTAGTTTTCTGTCTATCTATCTATCTATCTATTTATCTATCTATCATCTATCTACCCATCTATCTCCATCCATACCAGATAGATTAGAAATGCATATTTGAAAGCAAACTTCTCATGGCAAGTAGTTTCTGGATGGAATTTCATAAAATTTTATAGCTTTCCTGTGACTGAAACATGTACTTCAACCAAAAGCTTCACAGAATATAAATGAACAATATATACACATTTAGAGCAGGAAGGGTGGCCTGTGTCCTGTGAAACTAGTAGGCAGCTGATCATTTATGCTCTGTGCTTTCATTTTTAACTAATTAATTTATTTATAGTCAAGGTCTTGCTACGTAGTGCAGGTTGTCCTTGAACTTCACTTACATAACTCAAGCTGTCCTTGAACTCATGGTGCTTCTCCAGCCTCAGCCTCCCAAATGCTGGAATTACAGTCATGTAACATCATGCCTAACTGTTTTTTGGTATTAAAAAATGTAATTTGAGGACAATCAAGAGTAATTGATATCCAACAACAAAATAATATGTGTCATTTAATTTTCATGTAATTCATATGTGAAATAATGTGTATTCAAAAGTAAATGATTATCTACAATAAATTTTCATCACCAATGTCTCAACATGCATGCACATGTAATGCTTTTGTAACAATAAATATTCTTAAAATTAAAAATAATTCAGCTGAAAGACTAAATTAATTTTAAAAATATAGTTAAGGCCTTGGGGATCTAAACCTTTGATTTTATTTCCCCGTCAGACTATTCTAATCTCTACTGTGATCTCTAAAAGCTATGTTACCTGAACTTTTAAAGATGGTAGGACAGCAGTTTAAAGGTTATTCATCATCAAAAGTTGGAAAAAGCATTTCCTGTGGGATTGGACCAACTTTTCTGCTTAAGTTCTTATTATATACTCACCTGATGGAAACAAAATAGCAAGAAATTAATGTACAAGAATTTTCCTCACTTGTGCAGGTGCCACATTTTGTATGTTTATCTAATTGTGAATATCTCATAATATCGCTCTATTTATATTACTGACCTGTGATCTTTTTCAGTGGTTTAAAAGCCTGAAGAGCATAAGATCTGCAGGGTGGGACAGATTCTGTATTTTTAGTCCACATAACGGCCTGGGTTAATGAAGAATCAAACTTCCTTTCTATGGCAAGATCAAAAGGATTGTCTCACCTAAGTATTGGTGTATTTTTAAAAATCCAAGTGGCCAGTCCAAAAATCATCCTTTTGTTGTAGCAATACTTTAGATGAGAAATGTTGCCCTTAAATGCATTTCATATTCATTGATTTCAGTTTTGTTTGTTTATACTATGCACATTTCTGAAAGATATTTAGTAGATCAAGGACTCTTGCTTCTATTGTTACAGACTTGTGGTGTTTTCTCTATAATTTTCATTGTAGAGCATTGATATGGGAAGGGTTTTCTTCACATCAGGTTTTTATTTTCCACATAGCTACAGATTACAAATAATTCATGTCACCTTGATTTCTGAAGAACTCATCAGTATCTATTTGTGACTAATGATTTTCTAACTGTTGTTCAATTATATTATCAGCAAATTATTTTTTAATGTTATAGAATTGAACACTTATTATTTAAATATAGAGGACCATTTAAAAACCATGAATATATGTAAGTGTGATTATCCTGGAAAGAGTAAAACCAATGTAAATTTAGAGGAAATAAGCATTCAGTACATTTTAGGGATCAAATATAAAAACCAGCAAGAGGCTGGAAAGAGACACCTACCAAATAAATCTATGCTTATTGTGATACTAGAAAAGCTATAATTTTATATAGTCTTTAGAAGTAAAATATTGAAAGGATCAGAAGCAGTATCTAATTAATACATTACCTTGTAACTCTCCTCAAGGTATGCATTATGCTTTCTCTAGAACTGCTTTCTTCTCTACGGATTCTTCAAATTGCTGAAGCTTAAAAAGCAAATCTACTTTTGATCACATATATTTATTAGAAGCAATTGGTCACTGAAAACACTGGTAGGTTGGTTGATTCCAATGTGTCTAGGTTTTGCAGGTAATTAAACACAGATGAGAACTGATTACAGTTAGGATTTTTAGAACTTTTCCTTAAGCTTTGAAATATTACATAGATGTAAGGAAGTGTGGTTCTTAGAATCTATACACAAATGAATGAAATTCTTTTTGCTCCCAAACATGCTGTAGATCATTATGATATGGAAAATTTGTGTTTACGAGTCCTCTCCCACTCTGAGAATTCATCAACCATGTAACAGCTCCATTTCAGCTCAGACCAGTCCCGTGATATGGTTGCAGATTTTTTGCTTCAAATTTCTTTTAATTTAATGTTTATTGAATACCATTGCCTTAGTTTTATCCTCTCAAGCCATGATGATTGAAATTTTCATGATATAAGCTCAAAGTTCAAAAGGTATCATAGTCCAAGATACCTATAGTATCCTAAGAGTGAAAAATGACAGATGTCAGAGTGTGATTTCTGAAGAACAAGCAGAGATGCTTAGAGTTCTTCAAAATCCACTTCATATGCAGAATTGAGAAGCCAGAGTTAGGGTACCTCATTGTAACTGTGTATATAGCATTGTGTTTTGTTGTCGGTGAGTTTAAGGGGCAATTGCTTAAATCTTTTTTTTTTTTTTTTTTTGAGACAGGGTCTTACTAAGTTGCCCTGCCTACAATATAATTTTCAATCTCTACCTCAGTCTCCTGAGTAGCTGTGATTGTAGGACTGCACAAAAACACTGGGCTCCAGCTTATCGTTGTCAGAAAATTTTCTCTCTTTTCCTGGCATTTTTCAAATACAATCTGTAGAATCTTTTAGATTCTGTTTTAAAAACCTTATGCTATTATTGTAAAGAAGCCAAAAGATGACTCTTTGTGATATCCACATCTTGTTTTCCGTGCCCTTGTGTGATCTTTCTCTATTTGGTATCCTTCATGTAATGATGCATGTCTAGTGAATGGACAGAGGCAAAAGGATGTCGCTTCTCAGATTGGATTTTAAAATATCCTGGCTTCTGTCTTTGGAGTTCTCTCATTTGCTTCTTACATCTAAGGGAATCCAGTTTCCAGGAACTTTTTTTCCAGAGGAGAGGCTCACACATCAAGAAATTGTGGGAAACTGGGCCGGGGATTTAGTTCAGAAGCATAAATGCCTGCCTGGCAACTGAGAGGTCCTGAGTTTGATTCCTGGTACCAAAAAAAAAAAAAAAAAAAAAAAAAAAGAGTTGTAGGAAACCTTTAACCATTAAGGAACTGAGCCCTTCAGTGCAACGATCTGGGAGGGATTTAATTCTGCCCAGAGTACATAGAGGAAGTCGGAAAAACACCCTCCACGGGCCACTCTTCAGGCAAGAACACAGCCTTAGCTAACAGCTCACTGCAATCTTGGGCGGTGGGGGTGACACTTTCCCCAAGTTCCCTGCATCTTCTATTTCTACTTTGAGCAGCATACTCAGCTGTGAAACTCACCATTGCATGATTCTGTTGATGACTGTAGTGCTCCCAATGTCTAGTCACCTTCCACAAACCCTGCCTGCAAGCTCATGGGACCTTTGGGAGAACTTTATGATATGAGCCATAAGAATACACATGCTAGAAAAAAATATGATACGGTCATAAAGAAATTTTCAGACATGATTTTGGTAAGAATTCAGAAAAACTTAAAAGAGGAAACCTGTAAAGTTTCACCTTCTTAGAAAATACTTCACATAAGAATTATATGTATCTAAAAGTGTGGATAGTAAATGACTATCTCAGTCCATTCCTGATACTATAACAAAATACCTCAGACTGAGTAACTTATACATAAAAGAAACTTCTTTTCCATAATCATTGAGTCTAGGAAGCCCAAGATCAAGGTACCATAAGATTCAGTGTTCAGTGAGGGTTTTTTGCTTCATAAATGTTGTCATGTTGCTATGCCTCAGGTAGCAGAAGAAGATTCACTGTACCTGTTATCTCTTCCATAAGAGTACTAATACCATTCATTAGGGCAGGATCCTTGAGATTCAAGAATTTCCCAAAGATTCCATTTGTTAATACAATCATAAGGAGAACTAGTTTAACATGAATTTGAAAGAACACAGATAACCAGGCTATCGCAAAGCAACTGTGGAGGGATCTCAGTCAGAAAGGAAGAACATGCTACTGAAACTGGAAGAGAAGCAAACTTCAATTTGCATAGAGCTCTGGAATTGTTTCTGTTCTAGTGACTTTTGGAAAGTAGAATTTGTGAGCAATGAAATTGGTTATTTAACTGAGATTTGTAAGCAAAGGGTTGAATGAGAGGCTTAGCTCCTCGTGATTGCTTAGAGTGAAATGTTGGAAAAGAAAAGAGAATTACAGAAAAGCTTGCTGAACAAAAGTGAACCAGTAGTTAAAGATTCCAAAATTACCAAGCTGCCCAAATCACAAAGATTTACAAAATAAGAAAGAGCATTTGGAAGACAATGCCAAGAGTATAGTGGATTGATTCATAAAATTAAGATGAAATCTCAGGCTTAACAATCTCCAAAAATACTAGGATTCTATCAACCAAAATACTATCACTTGGAAGTCTCTTCAAGAAATCATTGTCTGAGCCAGTATCTTGAGGTATTTCCCATGTATTTTTCACAAGTTGTATCTAAGTTGGAGATCTTGTTTTAAGCTCTGTGATTCATTTTGATTTGATTTTTGTACAAGATATAGAGGATTAATTTTCAGTCCTCCATATGTGGAAATCTATCATTGTTTGTAAGGCTGTCTTTTCTCCAATGTATGTTTTTAACAACTTTTTCAATTATCAGATGGTTGTAGTTGCATGGGTTTGTTTTTGAGCTCTCTGTTCCATTCAGTGGTCTCTGTGACTATTGTACCTGTACCATTTTTGTTTTGTTGCTATGGCTCTGTAGTATATTTTGAAAAGTAGCTCTATGATTTATGATTTTTAAATGTACTGTTAATTTTTTCTGTAAGAATTTTTTTTGAGGTGTCTTGCATCTATCCTCCATTGACATGTATTGACTTACAGCTTTCTCTTTGTTGTGTCTTTATCAGGATTTGGAATCAGGCCGAATCTGGCGCTAGGCAATAATTTCCTGAAGAGGACTCCAGTAGCTCATGAAATAAAAGCAAGAATTGACATGCAAAACTGCAAGAAATTAAAAATCCCTGCAAGGCAAAGGAAAATAATTAACAGAGCAAAGAGACAGCCCACATATGCCAGACATTCGTATAACAGAGAATTTTCAGATTCCATAAAGAACTCAAAAAACTTTACAAAAAAGAAAAATAATTCAATCAAGAAGTGTTCTGAATAGACATTTTTCAAAAGGAGTAAGAATCATTAATAAAATGTGGAAAACTACTAAACATCTTTATCTACTAGGGAATCTAATTCAAAACTAGATTGGTATTTCATGTTATACAAGATCAGAATGTCTGTAATTTTTAAAAAGTTACAAATACTGGAAAAGTTGTGCTGAATAAGACTTTTTCCACGGTTGGTAGCAATGCTACTTTAGATGAAATTTTGAGTTGGATGGGGGAAATTTAAATGAGTTATGACAATGAAGTTGCACCACACCAGCCATTCTGTATTGGAGGTAAGCTAGAACCCTGAGAATGACTAAGAATGTGTGTGAACCCTAATGACCTTCAGTGTGTTGTGAATAGATCAAAACATTAACTGTAAACTTTCTAGCAGCCAAGGCCTAGCTCATCCTCTCTTTCTTTAGGTTTTTTTCTCCCCAAATACTTTATGGACCTAAGAAAGCAAACCAGCTTCAATCACAATGAAGTGTCTCTCAAAACTCCCCTCCTGGAGGAATCTGCTCTTTCTCTTAATTTGTTCACATCACTTTGTTCATCACTGTTATAGCAATTTTTTTCAGTCTGTGATTTAAATTCCTAAAACTCCTGATTGTAAAATTATTTATGATTGAGAAAGTTGAGAAGTAATAGTAAAATATAAAAGTTTGACTGTACGAAAGTCATATCAGTTTTATAAAAATAATGCAATAATTTTAGAAAGAAAGTAATAGCAATGCTAATGAAACATGCCAATGATGTCATTTTTAGTACAGAGTAGATAAGTTTCCTTCTCCTATTCCTCCTAAGTTTGAACTTTGGTTTTATTGAAATTTTGGTTCATGCAAATGGATGGTGATGGTAAGTT